GGCACTGACAGACCTATGGTCCTGGCACTGACAGACCCTTGGTCCTGGCACTGACAGACCCTATGCCTACCCTACTGCACTGACAGACCCTTCCTGGCACTGGCTGTCCTGCACTGACAGACCCTATATGGTCCTGCACTGACAGACCCTATGGCACTCCTATGTCCTGCACTGACCCTATGGTCCTGGGACCATATGGTCCTGCACTGACAGAACTCAGACGAGCCTGCACTGACACACCAACTGGCCCTGCTCTGACAGCCATATGTCCTGCACTGCAACTGGTCCTGGCTCTGACGAGCCATATGGTCCTGGCACTGACAGACCTGAGGCCCTGTGCACACGCCTGTGTACGATGACTTTCCCACCGATGTAACTGAGGGACATTTGACGCATTATCACCCCGGTCCATTTATCAATTTCCCGACTGCCACCGAAGTGCCCACAACGACGGTGGTTGCTGACCGATTTGATGACGACGGGACCCTGCCTCCTGGGATAACCGGAGTAACCGCAGGACTCCCATTCGGCGATGATGACGGCGGCAGCTTCTTTGGGGGCGTTGGTGGGACTACTGGATCGCCCGTTGCAACAGTGGTTTCATCCACGGAGAATGATACTTCCATGTCCCTTCATATCCCCCTTGTGACCTTTATCCCTGCCCTTATCATGCCCTTCCTTGTCACCAAGTTACCTCCAGGTTCTGCAGGAAGTCCCACCTGCAAGGACAATTATAACTGCAAGGACACCCAGCTGTGTTACGGCGGGGTGTGTGTGGACGGTTGTTCTGTATCCAAGTGTGGGTACAAGGCTCAGTGCCACACCGTGCATCACATCCCCATGTGTACCTGTGTACCTGGTCATCGTGGTAACCCCCTGACGGAGTGCCTTCCAAAGACAGGTACTAGGCATGGTCTCACACAAGAGAGAGAGCCGAACCAGGAGTTTTGTCAAACAAGTAGAACGTTGAGAACATATGAAAACATTTTTTAGCTGTTTATGGAGGTCGTTTCTCTACCACTAACTCTCGTATATTTTTCGTATTTCTTTATTTTTTCCGTTTTCCGTTTTCCGATTTCCACTTTTGTTTCTGCATGCGTATGTGTGAATGACTTAGAATTAGGAATGTTCTTTTATTTCAGCTGCATCAAGCTTTTTCGATTTTTTGTAGCAATGAATACCAATTGCAAACGACGTTCTTCTAGTACTGTAGCGTAGATATTGATCACCGTTTTCTGATGTACTGTATTTCCATATGCATTTCGACCACAGTCTATATTGCACAGCGTAAGTATGACTCAGCAGTGACCATTGCCATTTAGCACATTCTTCTGACAGACACCAAAGAAACATGACCTAAGCCTTTCCCCCCGCCCCCAGCACCTGCACACCCCGCCCTCCTACACCCACACCTCGGCCCCTAGCGTCCCACCGCGCTCAGTGCGTGAGAGACTCCGACTCTTTCGCGGAGAGCTGTCGAGGTGGCTCTTGCGTTGACCCATGCGCGGTTGGCGCCCCGTGTGGACTCAACGCCGTGTGCGCTGTGACTACACCGCCCCATTTGCTCCTGTCCCGCGGTACACGGGTAACCCCGCCAAGAGTGCCTCAAAGGTACTCCCAGCTCTTACCTTTAACTGCATAAGTATATGAGTGTGTGCGTGTGGCGTTGTGTGTTGTGTGTGTGTGTGTGTGTGTGCGTGTGCGTGCGGGCATGCGTCTGTGTCTGTGTGTGTGTGCGCTTAAAAGTTTTCTGCCAAAGAGATTATGCCAAAGTTTCACAGTTCCCGCGACCAAACACGAACCATGACCGTAGTAACGAGGAAAATTTCCTTCGTTGTTGCATTTCATTGCACGTTTTGTTTTCTTTTTGCTCGAGCTTGAGTACTGTAAAAGTTGGGAAAAAACGTATGCATTTTGTATCAGCCAATTTTGCTTCATTTACACGTAAGCTTTTTTGTGGATTTTGTACATTATTGATTGTTTGTAGACTTTGTTGTACCTGTCTTTGCTGTATGTGTGTAAATGTAGCAAATTCTTTATCAATGACATATTGGCATCTGTATGTGTACGTGCATGCATGTGTGACGTATCGAGTATTTTGAGCGTATATTTAGTTGTTGATTTTGTTGACGATATGACATCCGGCGGCCCCGAAACCCGAGAAGACACCTCGTCATAGGGCTTCGGGGCTCCCTGAGGTAAGTGCCAATGACCTTAGACTGACCTTCTTCCCTCTCTTGACCTTAGCACCAACCGTCCCTCCCGGATGCACTTCAGACTTCGATTGTGTCGAGACCAAAGTTTGCTATAATCGGGACTGCAAGGACCCGTGCGGCCTTGCCAATCCTTGTGCGGCCAAGGCCACTTGCACTACAGTCTCGCATCGACCCGTGTGCACCTGCAATCCGGGTTACTCGGGAAATCCTTATGTTTTCTGCGGAGTTGACAATATATGTAAGACGTTGCTTCTTGCTTCTTGTTAATCCTGTCATCAGTATACTCTCGTGTGTCCTCATACTTAGTACCTGCATGCTTACACCCTCCATTTTGATGGATTCATTGTCGTATACTCACTAATTTATCTAATTTTATTTGCACATATCATGATACATTTGGCAATATTAATCGAGAGGGGCAACCTCGGTAACATAACATTGGGAGAATCCCAAATTAACCTAACCCCTCTCAGTTACGGGATGCCGTGGCGATGGTGACTGCCCCTCAACACAAGCTTGTATTAACAACGAATGTCGGTACCCCTGCGAGGATGACCCCTGTGGAGTAAATGCTGAGTGCATCAACAGTGAGCATAGTGCCCAATGCAGGTGCCGCAACGGCTTCCAGGGTGATCCGCTTAAAGGATGCACTCCCGGTAAGTTAGTTACCCCGACAGGAACAGAAAGTAACCATTTTCTGTTATCCAGGTTTTCTACACTATTTAGGGATAACTTAAAAAATGTTGACCATTTCTACCTCGGTTTTGTTTACTCAGAAGTAGAAATCTAAAGAATCTCTTTTTTGTTGAATCTTATATACTACACATTAGCTTAACAACTTAGTAACGAAATCATCTTAACAACGTATGTATTATTGGTAGAATTCGGCCCAAAATAGATTTGGTTGGTTTAGTAAACACTAATGAAATGAAGCAGATACTAATAAGTACACGTGTGTTGCAATATTTTATATTAGGTAACATATGCATATAATGATAGTAACCTGTGTGCCTTCTTGCCTGTCTGACTGACTTGACTGCGCTGCGGTGACCGACACAGTGGGTTGCTTCACCCCTGACGATTGCCCCTTGACGGAGGAGTGCTACAGCGGGCAGTGCGTGAGCCCGTGCCGGCCCGCCAGCAACCCCTGCCCTCAGTCCGCGACTTGCCTTGCCCTCAACCACGCCGCCACGTGCATGTGCCCTCCCGGCCACACGGGAATCCCCCTCCAGGGCTGCTCACCTCTCCCTCTCTGCGGCTTCAACTCCGATTGCCCTCTCGACAAGGCCTGCATTGAGCGGGTGTGCACTGACCCTTGTGAGGCCGCCCCGTGCCCACAGGGGTCTGTGTGCACCGTGGAGACTCACAGACCAGTTTGCCTGTGTCCCCCCGGGTTCACAGGAGACCCCAGAGTGGGATGCAGCCGCAGCGGGTGTGAGGGCGACTCGGATTGCCCCGCTGGGAGAGTGTGCCGTGGCGGACGGTGTGTGGACCCGTGCACGGACTGCGGGCAGGGGGCGTTGTGCCAGTTGTCTGGCTCCACGGCTCTCTGCCTCTGCCCCGAGGGCTTCACAGGAAACCCAAGTGTTGCTTGCAGCCCAAGTAAGACCTGCTTCTAATGCTATCTGTTTCACAAACCATAATTTCATGACATTTAAACTCTAGCTTTGTAGCTTCATTTTCTAGCTCTGCGCTGCCTTTGAGCGGCATGACTGCCTCAGTATTCCTTGCCTTACTGTCTGACTACTCCCTGACCCTCGTCAACCCACCTGACTCTGACCCTCAGTCCCCGGCTACTGCTCCTCGGACATCGAGTGCCAGCTTCAGGAGGCGTGTGTGCGGGGGGAGTGCCGCGACCCCTGCACTACAGTGCCTCCGCCGTGTGGCGTGGGGGCTCGCTGCCGCGTCATAAACCACCGCACCATCTGCCAGTGCCCAGACGGGTACGAGGGAGACCCCCGCGACCTGTGCTCCCCAGGTAACCCTCCCTCTTCTGCCTGTGCACCCCCACCGTGTTTACTCGGCGCCTCCCTTCCCCTCCTTCCCTCATGGGTTGGCTCCGGGCACGTGCGGCTTCGCATGACCTCTGACCTCGACTACGCTGCTCTCGTGTGCCGCGAAAAACCGCCCACTCTCCGGCGGCGCCTCCGGGCACACAACTCTCTAACTTTCACTCAGCACTAACAACAAAATTTTACTGCATGACGAAAAAAAAAGAAATTTGTCCCGCGAATCGCCGCATGGTCTCCGTTTTCTGTGCACGATTTTTTCTTTTCAGGTAATTTCACGTTGGTTGCAAAGTCGGTTCTTGGCGTTTTCTTTGTGATATGGTTCTCGGTTTTCATTGTCTTCCTTTCTTTTATAAGGAGTAAAGATGTTTACACAAGTGAATGCATTTCACTCAAAATATTTCTCCACATGATTTAGTAAACCAAAAACACTATAGTCTCCCCTTTAAAAACACAACACATCTAAACTTTCCAGAAACTTTCCGACAGACTTGACGTTTTCATAGACTGTTTCTGTTGACTTCTTATTTATAAAGCTTGACCATGAATCCGTCTTTAAATATCCATTTTCCTTTCACATGAAAAAACGAACTTCGCATCGAGAGAGAAAAAAAAACAATCTTCTCTCGTCCTCGAAAGCACTGAAGACTTTCATTGAGGTTTCGACCATTCAAAAATTCCTCCTCGAAGTGGTCGCCCTTCGGTGCCACGCAAGCGTCTTCTCCCGTGGCCCTGTTAATGACACAACCCCCCGTTCTCTTCCCCCCCTAGCGAGCACTCCGCAGCCGGGATGTCAGTACAACAGGGACTGCCCCTCCAACAGGGCGTGCGACCGGCTCTCGCGCAGGTGCATCGACCCCTGCGACGAGGACACCTGCGCCCCCACGGCCTTCTGCCAGGCCATCGACCACCAGCCCAGGTGCGAGTGCCCGGCGGGGTACAGCGGCAACCCTTACATCGAGTGCGCCATCCGTGAGTACCCGCGGCGGCGTGGTCTGCCCTTGTGACGTCATCTTTTTTTGTTTGTTTTTGTTGGTGTGTCTCTGTCTTGGGCTTATTAACGGGCAAGCAGGGTAGATTTTGTTTACCTTTTTTGCTGAGCTAAAGTTAGGTGGTGATTATGATGGCCATTCCGGGATTTGGTTAACATAGAGGTTTACATTCGGTGTTACTTATGTATATATAATATATATATATATATATATATATATATATATATATATATATATATATATATAATATATATATATATATATATATATATATATATATATATATATATATATATATATAATATATATAATATATATATATATATATATATATATATATATATATATATATATATATATATATATATATATATATATATTATATAATATATATATATATATATATATATATATATATATATATATATATATATATATATATATATATATATAATATAATAATTATATATATATGGATATATGTATATTTATATACTTATATATATGGATATAGATATATATATATATATATATATATATATATATATATATATATATATAATATATATTATGTATTATTATATATGTATTATATATGTATATATGTATATATATGTATATATATATATATATATACACATGTATGTATATGTACGTATGTATGTATGTACGTGTGTGTTCATTTATAACTAGAAGCTTCAGTAGGGTTTACTTTTATTTGGGCATTAACCGCTATGTTAGGATAGTTTTGTCTTTCCCAACTACTCAATTCCTCTTTTGTAAGTGGTTATTTTTAGTGGCTTAAATTGGGAAAAAGTTTTTGGTTAGCGCTTCCATCATACTGTGGTGGCCATTAGGGGTTTTCCGCGTAGAGGTGCGGCTTATTGCAAATGTGTGTCGTCCTTTAAGCTTTATACGTGTTTCAATAACTTCCGGAGTACAAAGTGTAAACTTTAAGTATACACTTTCCCCATAACACTGTATCGAACACGTACATACTCTTCCTCTTCCCTCACACTTTCCATCACAAGCTCTACTCCACCGGAACACCATCCTGGCCACTCCACTGACACCACACGCACACCATCCTGGCCACTCCACTCTGACACACACCATCCTGGACCACACGCACACCATCCTCCACTAACACCACACGCACACCATCCTGCACTGCACACCACACTCCACTAACACCACACGCACACCATCCTGACCACTCCACTAACACCACACGCACACCATCCTGGCCACTCCACTAACACCACACGCACACCATCCTGGCCACTCCACTAACACCACACGCACACCATCCTGGCCACTCCACTAACACCACACGCACCACATCCATGGCCACCACTAACACCACACGCACACCATCCTGGCCATCCACTACACCACACGCACACCAACCACCTCCACTGAGCACACACGCACCACCATCCTGACCACCACTAACACCACACGCACACCTGACCACCCCACAACACCACACGCACACCATCCTTCCACTAAACACCACACGCCACACCATCCTGACCACCCCATAACACCACACGCACACCATCCTGACCACCCCACTAACACCACACGCACACCATCCTGACCACTCGCACAACCACTCCACTAACACCACACGCACACCATCCTGACCACCCATTAACACCACACTGCACACCACTCCACTAACACCACACGCACACCATCCTGACCACTCCACTAACACCACACGCACACCATCCTGACCACCCCATTAACACCACACGCACACCATCCTGACCACCCCATTAACACCACACGCACACCATCCTGACCACTCCACTAACACCACACGCACACCACCACTCACTAACACCACACGCAACACCATCCTGACCACCCCATTAACACCACACGCACACCATCCTCATCCTGCTGACCACGACCACCAACCACCTGACCCACGCACACCATCCTGACCACCCCACTAACACCACACGCACACCATCCTGACCACCCCATTAACACCACACGCACACCATCCTGACCACCCCACTAACACCACACGCACGCCACGACACCACACCGCACTGTACTTCCGGTTAACTAGCTTCCGAACTAACCCGGGCACCCCCCACCCCTTCCCTCCCCCCCCTCGCTTGCAACGCGTAGAGGCGTGCACCAGCAACGACACGTGCCCGCCCGGACCTCGTGTATGTACGGCCGGTGCGCGGAGCCGTGCTCGGCGATACGGTGCCCGCCAGGGAAGGTCTGCCGAGCCGAGGGGCGCGGCGCCGAGTGCGTGTG